CCTCCATCTTTCTCTCTCTGTCTTTTCCCTCCGTTTTTCTCTGTCTCTTTTTGCTCTTTCTGTCTCGTTTCTCTGGGCCTCTTTTTTTCTCCCCCCTCACCCCCAAAATTTGGTCTCCATCCAAAATTGCCAAATATAGACCCCTCAAATATGACCCCCAAATATTCCCTTTGAATGTTGTATCACCCAGTGTGGAGGTCCCCATATAACCCCCTCATTTCACACTCTCCTCCTCCATGTTCTGCAACCAGCAAATACTAAACTCTCCCATTTCAACTTGGAGCTGGGCTCAGAATGAATACTGGAGTACCCCCTGACCCACCTCCCCAGATCTTGTACCTACCCCAAACCACACCCGCCTCTCCCTCTCAGATCCCTTTATTCCCCGAATATGTTTTATTGCCTTCCAGTTTTGCCCTGTCTTTACCCTAGAAGGTGTGTCCCCCACTTTTGCTCTATGCTTACACTATTGCACCCCATCCCCAAATTTTGTGCCCCCAAAACAATATTGCCCAACCTCAGGTATTGTATTCCCCCCGCACAAATATTTTACACCCCATTTGCCAAACATTGTTCCCTCAAAAATTGTGTTTCCCCTTTTTCAGTTCCCCCCAAATATTGTCCCCAAAGGTTGATCTCCATCCCAATTTTGCAACCTCCCCAACTTTGTGTCTTGTCAAATATTGCCGCCCACAAATTTATGCCCACCTTTGAACATTCCCAATCGAGTTTTACCCCACAAATATTTTGCCCCTTGCAAAATGTTTCATCCTCTCAGTTCCTAATTGCCTGCATGCAGCTTCACACCTCCAGATCATCTGTGACCCCCCCACCACATATAAATGCCCCTCTGTATCCCCCTCTATGTACAATACCCCATCCCCCTCACTGAGTCCCTGTCCCCAGACCAGGGGGCTGGAAGGCATGGGGAATGTGGCCAGAGACACACAGGCCTTTTAACCAACTGCCTTACTGAGAGCACGATCCCAGTCCCCAGGCAGACAACCTTCCCCCCGCAACTGTTTATTTAACAACCCCTGCCACATTTCAGTTTACAGAGAACGGGGTGGGGTAACACTCAGGTGGAGCAGGGACCAGGAAGATCCCACTGTATTACCCATGGAGAGAGAAAGAGTGAAGAACAAAGAGGGAGAGAGAGAGAGAGAATTCAAGAGGAGAAAAGAGGGATGGACAGACAGAGAGAGAAAAGCCATGTGGAGAGAAGAGAGAGAGAGATGGGGGAAGGACCAACAGACTGAAAAAGAGAAAACCCATGGAGGCAGAGAGGGAGACAGATAGGGACAGACAGAAAGAGAGGGACGGACAGACAGACCGAGGAAGAGGAAAGCCATGGGGAGAGAGAGATGGACAGGGACAATCCCATTGCAATAACTATCCAACTCTCCTCCCCCAACTCTGGCACTGAGTCCAAATCTGCTCTCAGAGAGAGTGACAGAGAGATAGAGAGACACAGGCAGACAGAGAATGAAACCCCAAAGAGAGAGACAGAAGGGTAGAGAGAGAGAAACCCAGGGGAAGAGAGTGAGAGAGACATAAAGATCCCAGGGAGAGAGACAGTACAGCACAGAGACAGAGCGAGATCGACAGACAGATATAAAGTGAAACAGAAGGATGGATAGAAGGGGACAGAAAGACCAGAGAGAGATGGAAGGGCAAACAAGAGAGAAACGGAGACAGAAAGAGTGTGAAACCCAGGGCGGGGAGCCAGAGGGGACAAATAGAGAAAGATATAGAAAGAGGGCAATAGCCAGGGAGAGAGACAGAGAGAGGAGACAGTGAAAGCTCCCAGGGAGAGCGATGTGAAGAGAAACCCCAGGGGGAGAGACAAAAGGAGAGAGAGGGAGGAAGAGAGGAAAATCCCATTGAGAATAAGAAAAAGGGCGGAGAGAGAGGAGATAAATAAACCTGGGGGAGAGAGAAAAGGACTGATGGAGAGAAATCTCAGGGAGAGGATGAGAAAGGACAGATAAGAGAGGAAGAGAAGACCGGACAGAGAGGTACCATCGAGAGCAAGTGATGGAGAGACAGAGAGAGGGGGCTCGCAGATAGAATGACCCTCAGGCAGGAACAGCAAGAGCCCACAGGGCAGAGAGAGAGAAAGGTGTGGAAAGAGGTGAACAGGAAAGGTTGGAGATTGGAAATACTGAATGATAAAACAATTCCTCAAAAACCTGGGGAGGGGATGAGAGAGTTGGGGGAAGGATCTGAGAGGCTGTGTGAGAGTGAACAGGGGGAAATTTGAAGGACATGGGGGAGACGGAGATTTATTGATAGCTGTGGGAGAAACAAGAAGCTGGGAATATGGAGGCTCCCCTCACTAAGACAGATGCTTTATCTAATAACTCCCTCCGCCTTTCAGTTTAGAGAGCGCAAGTGGGGGTAAAACTTAGATGGGATGGGGAACAGGAAGATCAGAGGGTGAGACAAGCCATGGGCAGAGGAGGCAACTGACAGGAGGGAAGGAGAGATGGGGACAGATGGAGGGAGGAAAGAAGGGAGGGGTGGGGACAGAGAGATGTCCTATTAAGCAGCTATTAGATAGGCATATGAATGATAGGATAAAGTAGGGGTGGGGGTTAGATGGAACTTAGGTTTAGGGTAAAAGTTTGGCACAACATCGTGGGTCGAAGGGCCTGTACTGTGCTGTACTGTTCTATGTTCTAAGTGAGATGTGGAGACAGAGGGAGGGAAGAAGGGAGAGGTGGGGACAGAGGGAGGGAAGAAGGGAGAGTGGGGACAGACAGAGGAGGGGGGGAGGTGCAGACAGAGGGAGAGAGGGAGGGGGAGAGAAAGAGAGAATCCAAGAGGAGAATAGAGGCAAAGAGAGACGGAGGGAGAGAGGAGCTATGGGGAGAGGGTGACAAAGGGAGGGAAGGGCAGAGGGAGGATTCCACTGCAATAACTATTCAGCCCCCTCCACTCTGGCACTGAGTCCAAATCTGTCCCCAGGGAGAGGGATAGAGAGACAGATAGACTGAGTGAAACCCCAGGGAGAGAGACAGAGGGATAGAGAGACAGACAAAGATCCCAGAGAGAAACAGTGTAGGACTGAGACAGAGAGAGATGAAGAGACAGGGAGAGAGAAACAAAGTGAAGATAGAGAGGGACAGAAAGACCCCAGACAGAGAAAGAAGGACAGACAAGAGAGAAAGAAACATGAACCGAGAGCGTGTGAAACCTGGCGTAGGGAAAGAGGACAGACAGAGACAGAGAAGGACATAGGAGAGAGAGATAGAGAAACAGTCAGGGAGAGAGACAGAGGGAGTAGAGAGAGAAAGATCCCAGGGAGAGAGGCATGAAGAGAAAACTCAGGGGCAGAGACACAGCAAGAGGGAACAAAAATAGCATGGGGAGAGACAGAAGAACAGACAGAAAGGAAGAGAGAGAAAATACGTTGAGAAGAAGTAAAAGGACACAGAGAGAGGGAAAAGTAAACTCAGGGAGAGAGACAAAAAGTGACAGAGAGAGAGAGAACTGAGGGATAGAATGGAAAAGGACACATAGGAAGAGAAATCATAGGGAGAGGATGAGAAAGGACAGATAGAGAGAGAAATCCCAGGGAGAAAACAGGAAAGGACAGATAGAGAGAGGGAGACACAGAAGGACAGAGAGAAATCGAGTGAGAGAAGAGCAGACAGAGGGATAACTTTGAGAGTGGGTGATGGAGAGTCAGAGAGGGGGGCATGCAGATAGAATGACCATCAGGCAGGAACAGCAAGATCCCACAGGACAGGAAAAGAAAAAGGTGTGGAGAGAGGTGATGGGGGTCAAAGGTGGAAAGACTGAACGATGGAACAGTTCCTGAAAAAACCCGGAAAGGGGGCGAGGGAGGAATTTGAGAGGGTGGGGGGGTGAGTGAACAAGGGTATATGTGAAGGATGTGGGGGAGATGATTGGTGGAGGTTGGTGGAGCTGTGGACAGCGGTGGAGGGCTGTTGTAGGTTGCAACGGGACATTGACAGGATACAGAGCTGGGCAAAGAAGTGGCAGATGGAATTCAACCCAGAAAAGTGTGAAGTGATTCATTTTGGAAGGTCGAATTTGAATGCAGAATACAGGCTTAATGGCAGGATTCTCGGCAGTGTGGAGGAACAGAGCGGTCTTGGGGTCCACGTCAATAGATCCCTGAAAGTTGCTACCCAAGTTGATAGGCATGTAAAGAAGGCACATGGTGTGTTGGCCTTCATCGGAAGGGGAATTGAGTTTAAGAGCTGTGAGGTTATGCTGCAGCTGTATAAAACTCTGGTTAGACCACACTTGGAATATTATATTCAGTTCAGGTCACCTCATTATAGGAAAGATGTGGAAACTTTAGAGAAGGTGCAGAGGAAATTTATCAGGATGCTGCCTGGACTGGAGGGCAGGTCTTATGAGGAAAGGTTGAGGGAGCTAGGGCTTTTTTCATTGGAGCAAAGAAGGATGAGAGGTGACTTGATACAGGTTTACAAGATGATGAGAGGCAGAGATAGAATGGATAGTCAGAGACCTCTTTCCCAGGATGGAAGTGACAATTACCAGGGGGCATAATTTTAAGGTGATTGGAGGAAGATTGGAGGAAGAGGCGATGTCAGAGGTAGGTTCTTCACACAGAGAGTGGTGGGCGTGTGGAATGCGCTGCTGGCAGTGGTAGTGGAGTCAGATACTCTAGAGGCTTTTAAGCGACTGTTGGATGGGCATATGGAGGATCGTAAAATGTAAGGTAGATTGACCTTAATAGGATAATACGTCGACACAACATTGTGGGCCGAAGGGCCTGTACTGTGCCCTACTGTTTTATGTTCTATGTTATGAAAAGCTGTGGAAGGGACAGGAAGCTGGGAATATGGAGGCAGAGAGAGAGGGAGGCTGTGCAGCAGCCCCCTTTTTGACCGTTTGCCTCCCCCAACCCCCAGCCTAGAGCTCATCCTGTTGTGGTACAAACCCCAGAGACAGCCTGAGCCCCACAATTCCTTTCCCCCATGAGCACGTGAGTGTTTAAATGAACAACAAGGACACAGGATGGTTTATTATAATTCTCTTAGTCTCTCTCTATGGTTCCAGCTCTTGTCTGAGGATTCCTCATAGCAGAATGATTTGATTCTCTCTGTTTCTGCATCATGCCGAGTTTCAGCTCCCGGATCAAATTTCCTCAGGTATGGAGGTAACACTGAGAGAGAAATGAAAATTGATTAAAATTAAAAAAGCACCAAAAAAAAGCACAGCAAAATCCCACTGCTGGCTGCCTGAACATCCACAACCTGACAGTCTCCCCTGCTTCATCCCGCTCCCTCCAGCACAGCCCCTGATATCAAAGCCAGAGAATGGGGAATAGGAAAGTGTCTCAGACTGCCTCAGGACTATCACAGTGTTTCTGTTTGAGGGGAAGGGCAGGAGAGATATTTACTCCTGAGGCTGGGCTTCACACCCCTAACACTACAACCCCCATCCCCACTTCCAGAATATGCATGTTTCACTCTCTGCCCAAGCTTCAATTTCTCAGATATTCCTCCCCAGAGGGAGAGAAACAGACAGAAATTGATCTAATGAAATCCAATGTGTTTTGAAACAGAAATAAAGAGAAACAAAACAAGATCCCACCATTGACTGACTTTCACCATTTCTCCATTTTATCAATACTTTCCCCTGACTTTAAATCCAGAGAACAGAAACGGTTTTGAATTAGGATCAAGGGACAAATGCTTTCTGACTGTCCCCAGGGTTTATTTTCCAAGAGGCTAGGCAGTGACTCAGTGGTGGAGAGTCACTCCCCAGAGCCTGTGTCTCTCCCTCCCTCACTGTCTCTCTCACTGCCCCCCTCCCTGTTTCTCTCTCTCTTTCTCTCTCCCTGTTTCTCTCCCTCTCTCTCCCTCCCCATCCAAGTCTCCGTCTCTGTTGCGCTTTCTCTTGCTCAAGAATCGATCGATGTCTCTCACTCTCTCTCTCTCCATTTCCTCTATGTTTCAATTGCAATGCCCTCTCCTGCCTCATGTTTTCCACGTGTTCCCATCTCCCTGCTGTGTCTCATAAAGTTTTGCAACATCGATGTCACATTTTGGAGGGTGAGGGGGTGACAAGAGGTGAATGGTCCGGGCTGGGGGCAAAGGAAGGACGATTTACTTCACCTACTATCAGGCAGTCAACAAACTCAGCCAAGGGCCCTGTAGACTGGAGTGTGCGGGTGACCTGAAGGCCAAGGGGGTGCACAGCAAGATTCCACAGTTAGCCATCTGCAGGACCACCGAAGGATTCCCCCAACACCCTCTTGGAGCCCATCCCTTTACCACCCCAGCGCCCCCACAATGACAGGCTGATATTTGAATGAAGGACATTCTGCACAGCAGGATGCCAACAGCTGTTCACATAACCCTTCCCCCACCCCCAAACCCACGCTGGAGGAGACTAAAGGTTTCTGTACCTTCACTACTCACATTCAAATCCCCTTAGCCCCACCTCGTCTGAATTTGGAAAGCGTGGTCCCCTGCTACTATAAAAGGAGAAGGCTGCAGGATGTCCCCACACAGTAAGATCCCACAGGCTGCAATGTGAAAACAGGCCTCTCCCTCACTGGGTCCATCAGCAAAGACTAAATTCCCCCTTTTCAACTTGAAGCTGGGCTCAGACTGAACACTGGAGTTATCCCCTCACCTCCTCCCTCCAGATCCTGTACCTACACCCCACCACCACCCCTCTCTTTCAGCTGTCTCCCTTTTCTCTCAAACATGCCCAACTTCCCTCCCCCCACATACACACACTCCCCACTGCGCAGGATCCCACAAACAAAAAAATGTGAAAATGGCCACTTGTTGATTGAGGTCGTTAACCTCATTCTGAACATCGGCCTAGAGAGAGCTGGGGAGGGGTGTCAGACCATGCAGTTTCTGCTCCTTTGAAATGCTGACCCCCGTCTCTACCAGTCCCAGGCCCAGAGCCTGTGCTGGCCCTCCCACTCCCTCACCACACCCCCGTCCCAAGCCTGTGCTGACCGCTCACTCCCTCAATCCCCTAGAGTCAGGAATTAGGTCCCAATCAATGGGAACAATTCACTGTATTCACCCCTAAACTTCAGAGACATACCAACAAGGGCCGGGAGGAAGGAGTGTGACATGGGGGGAAGGATCCCACTCCCTTCCCACATCCAGACTGCCACCACCCCATCCCACCCACCACCCTATGAAAATGTCAACAAGTTCCAGTGGAGTGTCTCCCAAATATTTTGAGATCAAATACCGAAAAGAAAACGGCTGAATGGAAAGACAGGGAAATTCAGCCCTCCCCTCTCCTCTCCCTTTGCTCTCAGCTCGCCAATAAACTACATTCAAGTGGTGCTTACACCTTCAATTTATCCCTCGCTGCCTCATGGTCCCATCTGAAACACAGATACAACTCTCCCACACAATGATTCACAAAGCTTCACATAAACTCAGGACTCCTGATCTTGCCCTCCCTGGCCCAACATACACCTCCCACACACAAACTCCAGAAAGGGCTAAACTTGGAATGAAGGTACAACCACACAGTAAGATCCCGTACGCAGTCTCACTGCATTCCAATAGAAGCATATCTCACACATAGTTAGAAACCAGACGCTGCAAAGTTTAAGAGACTTTCACTACCTTCCCCGCTCGCCTGTTTATCTCTCAGATGTGTCTCTGTCTTATCCTCTCTGTCCCAGTCTGTCATCTTCACTCATGTGCTGTGAACTATTTCTCCTGCAATTTTTCTCTCTCTCTCTCTCACACACACACACACACACACACACACACACACACACACACAATCTCTCGTGCGCGCTCACACACTATTTCTTGTGTGCACACACACACAGTCTTTCGTGCACACACACACACAGTCTCTCTCATGCATGCGCACACACAGTCTCTCTCTCTCGCGTGCACACACAGTCTCTCGTATGCATCCACACATTCTCTCGTGTGCACACACACACATTGTCTCTTGCGCACACACACTGTCTCTTGCAAGTACACACACACACAGGGTCTGTCATGTGTACACACAGCCTGTTGTTCACGCGCACACACAGACTCTCGCACACGCACACACAGTCTCTCGCACGCGCACACACACTCGTGTGCAGGCACGTACACACTGTCTTTTGCGCGCATACACAGTCTCTCATGCGCGCACACACTCTCTCACGCACACACACACACACAGTCTCTCATGAACACACACACACTGTTTCTTGCATACACACACAGTCTCGTGCGTGCGCACACACATACTGTCCCTTGTGTACACACAGTCCTGTGCACGCACACACACACATACAGTATACATGCACACACACTGTCCTTCGTACGTACAAACACAGGCAGGGTCTCTTACGTGTACACATACAGTGTATTGTTTGCACACACACACAGTCTCTCATGCGTGCACACACAGTCTCTCGCATGCACTCGCATACTGCCTCTCACGTGCGCAGGCAGACACACCATTCTCTTGTGTGCACACACACACTGTCTCTTGCGCACACGCACACACACTGTCTCTTGTGAATGCAGGCACATACACACAGTCTCTCATGCGCACATACACATACACTGTTTTGCGTGCACTCACACACACTGTCTCTTGTGTGTACACACACACACTGTCTCTTATGAATGCAGGCACACACACACTGTCTTGTGAGCACATACATACACACACACACAGTCTCTTGCGCGCGAGCACACAAACTGTCTCACGCGCACACAGTCTTTCGTGCGCGCACACACAGTCTCTTGTGTGCACGCACATGCTGTCTCTTGCGTGGAAGCACACACAAACAGTCTCTCATACGCATGCACACACTGTCTCTTGCATGCGAGCACCCACACTGTCTTAAGTGCACACACACTGTCTCACTTGCATTTGCAGACACATAGTCTCTTGCGCGCACACGCACACTGTCTCTTACATGCACACACACACACAGTCTCTCGTGCGCACAGGCATACACACAGTCTCTCGTGCGCGCACACACACACATGGTCTCTTGCGCGCACACACACTCCCTTGCGCACATACACACTGTCTCTTGCGCGCAGGCACACATACACACTGTCTCTTACGCACCCACACACAGAGTATCTCGCGCATGCACTCACACTGTCTCTCACACACGCACACACACACTGTCTCTCTCGCGTGCACACACACACTGTCTCTCATGCATGCAAACACAAATTCTCTCACGTGCGTGCACACACAGTCTCTTGCATGCACGCACAGTCTCTCCTGCCCCTCGCTCTTCCTCTCTCTCTCTTACACACCTCGGTCTCCTCGCACCACTCACACTCTCTCTCTCTCTCTCCATCTCTCTCCCTCGCACCCTTCTCTCTTGTACACACTCACTCCTGCTTTGAGGCACAATCTCTCATGCACGTTTTGTCATGCTCACATATTCTCTCCTAGACACAATCACACATGCTTTTGCATAGCCTCTCATGTGCAAACACACTGTCGCACACTCCCTCTTTTGCAGGCACTCTGACACACACACAGACACAACCTTCAAACAGATTCTGTTGAATCTTTAATCATTCATACATTCCTAATTCAAGATTAAAGATTCAACTCAGTGTTGGTGTGCTCTTCTCTCTCATTGCACCTGACAAAGGGGCTGCACTCCGAAAGCCTGTGATTTTGAATAAACTTGAGAGACAATAACCTGGAGTCATGCGATTTTTGACTTTATTCACCAGAATGATAGCTGGAAGCAATGGTTCATTGGCGAGGGACTGAAAAAACCCAGTGTTGTATCCCTGAATGTTAGAAGGATGGGAGATGATTGAAGTTTTCAAGAGAATAATGGAGACTGTTGGGATACAGATAGAGAAAGGCTTCTTGCTGCTTCTGGATTTAGGACTCGGCTCATCGTCTTAAAATCTAACAATACTCTGAACCCTTTCAGGGTTTTAATTTCATACTGAATATATTTACACATGTAAACTTATATGAGATGTTTATAGAGACATATAAACATGATATTGTTCTGTCACAAACACAAAATATTGTTATAACTCTCATGTATCAAACAATCCCAGGACAGGGACAGCAGCATGGGGAGCTCTCTTGAAGTTGCAGTCAAATATGTGAAGGACAGGCATAATACGAGCAGAAACGCAGAGTTAAACTCAGTCGAAACTGTCTCCATCACAC